GATCCAACCCGCATAAAGTTTAGCTAAGCAGTACAGCCGTAGCTCCATTCAGTACCCTTGCACCAGTAAAAGTACTAGCTCTGCTAGCCATTATCACCTCCGCTTTACGTGGTTCATAATATCGCCTCACAACTGAGCCTTCAGGCCAGAGTTCTGGGTTAAACATCTCCGCAACTTCAATGCACTCAGCACACACTTTAAACAAGCTATATCTGTTGCTCGCAGTGTCAATACGCTGACAGTTAACGTCACGGCCGAGTTTTTCAGTTAGATATTCGGACACAGCCAGGCTGTGAGTGCGTGTGTACGGAGATCCGCGGAGCCGCGGCTGAGAAAAGATAAGGCTGAGTGAGTGTGTGTGTGTGTGTGAGGAGCTCCGCGGATTGGTCCATTTGGACCTGGGTATCGTTACGTCACTATACTCAGGAAGAAAAAATTGGAAAAAGAAAAATCTCCAACGAGGCGTTCTGGGGCAGCATAGACAGGTATTTTCTGTGTTAGAGTTTTACTCGCTACAGGGTGTACTTTGAGGGTTTGTGACTTTGCAGACCGTTTACATCACGGGTGTCAAACTCAAATACACAGTGGGCCAAAATAAAAAAATGGGTACTAGTCGAGGGCCGGACTGGTTCAATGTTTATTGCAGAACTTATTGAAATGAACTTATTGCACATATTAAACCTGGAACTAACACAGCTTAAATTATTGCCTATAAAAACAACATTAAACATTAAATAATCAGTTGCATTCATTTCTTATGGCTCTATCTGCAGAGTCATTTCTTATGGCTCTATCTGCAGCTTTTCCGGAGTCATTTCTTATGATTACATTTTTCCACAGGCCAACAACAGCTTCAAAAAAACTATTTCCCTCAAAGAAAAAAACAAACATGCCCTGTTGTCGTGAGAGAAAAAGTGCAAGAGGAAACATCCATTTAACTCAGTGTGCTGCTCTGTGATGCTAGTTCAAGCCAGATACTTGGCATCTCATCTTGGGTGCAAGTTCATCAATGTTTGGGCTCAGGCTCTGAGCTGAGGAAGGTGTGCGTGCAATATACCGGCGGGCCAGATCTAATAGTAATTAGAAATTATCCTGCGGGCCGAAATTAAATCCACCACGGGCCTGATTTGGCCCCCGGGCCTTGGGTTTGACATATGTGGTTTACATGCATAAAAAGCTACATAACACACAAGGGGACGGGTAATAACCAGAAAAGCATGTCATGGGACCTTTAAGGCTTGGGTTAGCATGTAAGCGAGTGGTAGCTACATCTGTGCTAACAATGCTAATCGTAGCCTCCAAATTAAAACGTAATAGAGAAGTGTTAAGCGTTATGTGGGATAATACTGTAAAACAAACGGCTTCTGTTTGAGGTTGGTAAAATAAGATCATCTTTGTAACTTAGAGAGATATTTTATTAGGTAGGTAACTGTATGCATCGCTAAGGTTAATTTAAATTCGCTATGCTCGATTATGTAGACAAGCTAACGTCAAAGTAGTGTTGAAGAGCAGCGTAGTGTATGTGAAATCAACCTCACAATAAGATGTGTGTATATTACAATTATTAATGTCATATTTCAAGATGATTACTTAGATATTACAATATGGTTGGTTGAGCTGGAGTTCATTATTGAGCTTACACGTTAACGTCACAGTCATATCTGAAGAACGAACACAAACCTTGTTGTTTTTATTAATTGTATTACCAAATTGGTATCAAATAAATAGTAAGCATTGGTAATACCAATGCTTACTATTCATTTGATTTTCATTACACTTGTGAAACCGACTAATTGTGGCTGTAGAACGTGAACATGTAACTTAATGCCTGCATTTAAGGACGATGAATAGCCTAGTAGTCAATGCTTTAGGGATGATTTGTTAAAAATATTAGATCAGACGTTTAGTGTGCTTCAGTTAAAATTAAGCTTATTCATTGCATTTAATTTGTTCTTCCAAAGTTACAGTAAAATAAAAAGGACCCTGACTCGGACAATACACAATCCAAGATGTTCAACAGAAGAGAATAAGTTATATTGTTTGTACACATGGTACTTTACATATATATCTGTTTGTTTAAAGTGTCCAGGTGATGCAGACAGGCTGGACCAGAGAGTGAGAGACAGCACTGGACTCAGCAGTGAACTTCAGCACAGGTACAAAGACTCTTTTCATACTGTACAAAGAACCAAGAAAGATATTGGTTTAAATAAATGAAGTATTGACTTTAATACACTGATATACATTCCATTAAACAATACTAAATACTAGATCACCTACACATCAGTTAAGTTGAGGGTTTCTTCCATGCAAAATGTTACATTTAGATGTTAACAAGCAATATGACTTTGTCAGCGTTCTAATTTAATGTATTGAAGGCAAAGATATTTAACACATAGTGACAACTGCTACTATTTATCTCTCAATATTGTCTGTAAAAAACGTGGTAAAAGTTATTCTTTCAGTGAGACAACCGAACAGAGCAAGCTTCTACAGTTGCACTAAGTTTTGATAACAGTTAAATATTATTTTGATAATAAAATATATTTCAATGTTGATGAATTTCATACTGTTCATTCATAATCCGATTGTCTTTGTAGCTCACTGTTGAAATAAAATAAAACATTACAATTACAAAATAATTATATCTACAGCCCCTAAACACAAACACACCTCTTTCATAAATAACACACTTGTTCTGCAATAATATGTTTTATGTTTCCTGTAATTTTTGTTAGGAAAGGACATGCCTGAAAGACACGATTCAACATGTTCTCCTTCTCTGAGGGCCAAGAAGAACATCCAAGAGGAAAATTAAAAGCTGATGTTATGAGATTTTAAGACCAGTACAGGACATTCACTAATAAACTACACTTTTATTGTGAAAACAAAGATCTGCACACCGAATATTTTTGTACTCTATCAGGACCATCATTTGTTTGTGACGCTGCACCTCAGAGAAGGTGTGGTTATAGGCTTATAAAGTGTGGCAAAAACACAGTCAGCTGATCGAATGCACCTACAGTATTTCCACATCTACACTTCATCAGCTGATTATTTCTATGTGCCTCACTTTATGAGCTTCACAACACTTGTACCGCAGAGTTTGCAACGTCACAAATAAATGGTGCCAATCTTCAGTCAGATGTGAATGTGTAATCTAACATTTTCAGTAAGAATAATGGACAAAAGGAGTGCAAATACAAATACAATTTATTGAAATGTGAACCAAAAGTTCATCAAAAATGTTTTAAATAAAAAGCACATATGGAAGAAGCTATAAACCTATTAAATGTACAAGTAAACACATTTAGTCAAATAAAGTGACAGACTAGGCCTGATCAGGTGGTATCAGCTATGCATGGGCTCCTCCATCAGGCCTTGTCCTCCTCACAGAGGAAAGACCCTCAGTCCTCTCCAAACCAACAGACAGGACGTCCATCACACAGAGGTTTCTCCCTGAAGTCTCTGCAGCTCTCTGGACACCACGCTGTCTCAATCCGTCCACACTGAATATGAGAGGGGAAAAATGAAAATAATAAATGCTTTAGACAATAAGAAATATAAAGTTAACTGTTGAGTTGCTCAGTTTTTTTAGATTGTCAATACTATTACTGTATAACCAATATTTCAGGTTAAGAGGCACCTTCAAATAAAGATTGGTCTTTAAATACATTTAGTTGATTTTGTCTTTTTAATTGCTTGTCTAAAGTCAAGGATCTAGAACTGGTACTTCTAGTTTTAATGATACAGTCTGGTTATTATGCTGTTTGGAGGAGGCCTCACAGGTAAGAGCACTAATTAGCAACCATCACATGTACCTTAGCTTGACTTAAATTTATTAAACGTATAATTAAGTGATAGCAAAATATAAATAACTAATGTCATGCAAACATATTAATATTTGCTTGATTCCAGTGTTGAATTTAGCACAATTATAAACAAACGTTAAGGGATTTTACGATGCTGAAGTATTATGCTAAAAACTCAACTTAGATTATTATTTATAGTTTTGCTGAATAGTTTCATGTCCGCTTACCTTAGAAACGTAAAATGTGACGGCAGTGTGCAGACGGGGAGCATGTAAGCTTAGCTTGTTAGCCTCAGCTAGCTCTGGAGCTTCCAGCTCGGTGGCAGCAGGTCCCGCCTCCGCCTCTTTGCCCTTATTTAGATCAGGCTGGAGCAGGCGGGAGTTAGACTCTGACGTCACTGTCGAGACGGCAGTGGCCGACTCCGCCTACTAAGGGCTTCTCAGCAACTCTGCAGAATCCTATGGGTGACGTCACGGACACTACGTCCATTTATATATACAGTCTATGATCACATCACAGGACTTATCTCTCTAAAGCAGCTGAGCCAATCACAGAGAAGCATTAGAACAGTGAATCTGTTGTTGAAAAGAAGCTTCTCCAGGAAATCATATTGTTTTGTGAATGGAGCAGGCCAGAGACAGATGTTGTTGGTAATTATTAAATCTGGCAATGATGACAATTCAATTATAAAAGATACTGATGAAGCCATTTATATGACAGCTTCAAAAATGCTATTTCAGTCATAATTATACAATTTCTCATAAATGATTATATATATTCAATATAACAAGGCTTTGTTTAATACTTGATTCTGATTGGTCAATTTGGACATTAAGTGGTCTGCTCTTTTAAGATAGCAGACTGCTGCTAAGGACACAGAAAAAAGTCTGGTCATTTTAAAATCAGCTGTGGCGTTGGGGTTCCTTTCACTGTAATGACTGGCTCGCTGCATTTTATCCCTTACCTAATGACAATAACATAAAATGTGACACAACCACGTTTGCACCGTTGTCCATTTCAAGAACAACACACATGCAACCAATTATGAATACCAAAAGATCTAACCAGAACCACCTATGACCTACAGTATCAAGGAAATCCTTTTTTTGTTACTATTTTTTGGAATCATTAAACTTGCTTTATTGATAAATATGAACAAAGCCCACTAAACCCTGTGTTCCCTCCTACCTTGTGCCAGCAGCTGCAGTGTGTGTGGCAGGGGGGGCAGGCCGACAGAGGCAGGGAGGCAGCGCTGGCATCGGGCAGGGGGGAGGCAGCGGGGGGCAGGGGGGCCGGGGGCAGGGGGGCCGTCAGATGGAGGAGGGGGTGATGAGGCTGAGGGTGACAAGCGGCAGCTCGATCCCCAGCAGCTTCCTGAGCCTCTCCTCCTCCTCCACTGCTCACCTGCAACAACACATGTAATCAGTAAGAGACCAAATCTGACCAACAGCTAGAGTAAAATGTTATTGTTTTTCTGCATAACTCTATCACAAGAGACAAAAAGGCCTTTTCTGTCTTGTGACACAACTTGGTGTAGTGACAGGTAAGAGCAGAGCAGCATGGAATTTTAAAGATTTTTAAGAATTTGAAGGGACAGTTCAGCACAACATTAATATTACGCGTTTTGCTGTGAGTTGCAGAGTGTTGGAGTTATCATCCTTCTTTTTAATAGAATGGAACTAGTCAGCACTGGGATTGTCAAAAGATCAAATGTAGTTGTTGGTGCTTTAAGCAACACAGGCCAGCTACCACCAGAGTGCCATCTAGTTATATTTGAGACACCAAAGCAGTGTACATAAATAGCAAAAAAGTAGTTGAGCTGTTAAAGAGGACCCAGGGACCGCAACTTTAACAAATATAACCAGGTTATTTTGGTTATTTCTGAGCCTATATCTTCTTAAGATAAACCCAACAAAGTTTGATATCATTGCAGCTCTAAAAGCCTTGAAATTAAACTTAGTGAAAGATGCATGTAAACAATGCAGGTTTTTCATTTATCTTTGAAGCATTTATTTTTTAAATCGGACCTCAGCTGTGTCGACATCATAAACTCCTGCTGTCAGCTTTCACCTACAAGCATGTCATTTCCTGTGTGAACCTCTGACTCACACATGACTGAGGTGTGTCTACAGTATGTGCAGGCAGTCTGTCATTGACTGAGTCTGACCTGTAATTTAAGTCTATAGGTCCTATGTCAGTAATCATCTGTCACATATTGGCTCTTCCAGGTCTCAGAAAAGCCTGAAATTAGGTAAAATTACTTTTCCTTTTTCTTTGACAGGGTGAACACATAGGTTGTGGTCAGGGGCCTGATGGATGGGCGGACATGGTGATAATACTGGTGAACGTCGTCCGGTGCTCTGAATTTATAGGAGACATATATCCTGAAGCATGCACCTTGTCAGATAGCTGAGGATTTATAGCAGAGTAACACCCTCCAGCAGGCTCACCACATTGGCATCTGCCCTGCTTTATGAGCTCTTACATGTCACATTTTGATCAGACACTGGGTAACCACATGGTCTGCGTGCCACTCAGGTGAAATATCATTAGTTGTTGCTTTTTCTTTATGCCATTCACAACCACAGGACTATACATAAACATGTTTGTAGCTGCTACACTGCTTTTCACTTGAATTCCTATCACTCTCCATGTTAGACTTTCATCACCTGCTATGCACCTATAGTATGTGCCCATGTACTTATATCCATCATTAAACCGATTTTCTTTTTAGGCATCTGATTAGGAGAAATTCTGCATGTGGGATTATCTAAATGTTGAAAGTGGCATTTCTCACTAGAACAAACTACAAAGGTACAGTATGTACTGTATGTATTAAATCATGTTTCTTGTCCTTTCAATCTAAATATTATGTAGAAAGTAATTCAATTTTAGCATTTGTGGTGTGTTTTGTAGCATGAAATAATAAATATGTTTTACTTTACTACTACTAGTTTAAATCTGATTATTCCTTTAAATGAAATGTTAAATGAATGATCAGTGGTGGAAGAAGAACTCAAATATTTTACTTCAGTAAAGGTAGTAAAACCTCTGGTAAAAAAAATATATAAACAAATGTACTTGACCTATTAAAATGAATTACTGTAGGTACTCATCATTTGATTGGCTCATTTCTTATTGTTTTATTACTTTGTTATAGAAGCATTAATGTGTGTGCGAGCCCTGTTGTAGTTTGTTGAGGTGATTTCAAATATGTAATCAATAAATAAATTGTCCAACAACCAATCTAATGTAGAGTCTTTTGAGAGTTCCTAAAAACATATTTTGCAGAGAATACTTGACTTAAAAGTACTCAAGTAAAGTATACGTTTCCTAAATGTGTAGGCCTACTTAAGTATAGTACGTGTGTTTAAATTAAGTAATATTATTTAAAACACAAATCCACTTATTTTTCTTGAAAATGACTGAATAGGGTTAAATTATTTTTCAAAAAGATCTTAAGCAGTCTGGGCTGGTCTCCTGGTGATGAGGTAAACCAGTGACCCCCCTTTAAGCCTCCCTCTCACCTGCAGGATGTCCTGGATGTGGCCGAGCTGCTGCCTCAGCACCTGCTTCTGGTGGAAGCTGAAGGCAGGGTGGTGAGAGGCCATGGTGAACAGTAACAGAAACTGCTCCTCAGTCCTCCCGTCGTTCAGGGCCAACCCGTAGTTATTGATCACCGAGTCTATGTGAGTCAGGGTCCGGTACAGGACCCCCGCAGCCTCCCTGTTGTCAGAGCCGAGCAGGGCGAGGGACACCAGCAGCTTGCTCCGCACCACCTCGTCCGTGATGTTGGTAAGGCCCGAGAGGTCGGTGGGGTTGTTGGCTTTGATCTCTGCATCCCGGAGGGAGTGATAGTCCTTGCGGGCCAAGTCCTCCAGACAGGAGCCGAGGAAGCGGAGCTCGATGGGGACGCAGAGGTCCAGGAGGCCGCACAGGAACTCGGCTCTCTCGGCTGATGTGAGGGAGCTAAACCAGCGGTACACCCCCTCCCTCTGGACACAACTCCGACTCTCCACCATACTCATACATCCACTCAAACAGACAATAACTGGAATTAAAAAGTCAAACTTTCAACGGAGAGAAAACTTCACAACAAAGAGGGCGCGTGCGTGTGAACAGTGTGCGTTTGAAGTTGCGCTGGCGCGCGTGGGCAGCACTACTCTGTGGCCATACAGTCAGAGCTAATAAGTCAAACTTCAAGTTATTGACTCCGTCGCTCACTGTTCACTGTATGTTTGTTTCCAATCACTGCAACCACAGCAATGACATGCACGTTATTCCCTTTGTTTGCGGCGAGCGAGCAGCAGGCCTTTCCAAACCATAATCTCTGTAAATCCCCTCTTATCAAGACAAAGTAGTCTGGTTTGTGTTCAGTTTTCAGCACGGCAGCCGGGAGCAGTCGCTCCGCCGTGTCCCTCCCCGCCGGTCGGACCGCTGCCCCCCTTGACAGCGGACTACAGAGACACTTCAAAACACACCGCCCCATTGAAGGAGACGCATGAGCCGCCCCGCTCTCCCTCCATGTAAAGTTGCTCCTCCGTCCTCATGGTTTTTCCACAATTTGTGCGAGGAGCAGTCGGCTGACAATCCGCTAGCAAGACTATGCTAGGTTAAAGTTTAAAAACAAAACTAGCGTGGCTTGAAGCTAATGCTGCCACTGGAATTAACATTATAGCCTACCGATACATTACCTCATGAAACGCCGCTGCAGAGAAAACACAAAACTCACAAATTAAACTTTAAGTCCATGAATGAGTTTAGTGCAACAAGTTGTTCTACGCTCCCTGCATTCTGCCATGAGTCTTGAAATCTAGGAAAAACAGCTGTGTATAACATTAACCCAACTCTGGCAGCAAGACCCTCCTATCATACAGAAATGTTTGCTCTGATTGGCTGCGAGTACTGTCTGCATGCGAGGTCTCTCTTGTGATTGGCTTAGAGGGATATCCGCTGCCCTGCTATTTCACATCTTTTTCTCATGCGCTCATACATATCTCAGCTTTATTACTTTGGCTTTAAATTGCCAGATACATTACATGTTAAACTGACTGATTCCATATAATATGGTATATTATTCTCACCAATATCATCTATTACTTTTAACTTTTTAACTTTTAGAGGGAATTTAGCCAAGTCAGATAAGACAGAGGAGCTCACCTTATATTATTATTTATTTTAGAAAACACCCACTGATGGACGAAGCAGTCTTAACTTTGACTTAAGTAAATGAATAATACCACAGGGTAGAAATACTTTTCGAGTAAAGGTTCAGCATTTAAAAATGAGTTAAAGTTAAAAATTATTAAAATGACCTTACAGTAAAATAAAAAAACATACACTAAAATCCCCAGGCAGAATAATTTATATACAGGCAATAATTATCTGTATATTTAGAGTTGAATACCATATTCGAAGTTCATCCTTTGTGTCAAGCCTGACCCTCTGTTGCTCTTATTATGTAGTTCATCTAGGACCAGAAGATGGCGGCAGATGTCCATGTTGAAACCTGATGCTGCGATAGAGTTTCTTATGGATGTTGTGTTGCATCCATCATGACACCTGGCCATACCTCCTCACAAATGATGAGCACAGAAAATATTTAAAATGTGAATTAAACACAAATGTACTTGACATAGGCCTACTTGTGTTACCTGTTGTTTTCCCCCAGCCACCCCTCTCAGTAGTTATTTTCTTGGTTCTTCCTCCTTCCATCCTCTCATTGAGAACATTGGTCTCTAGAGGTAAGCCCCGCCCCCGCACACAGGCCCCGCCCCTCCGCTGACGGAGGAAAATTCAGTTAAGGTTGCTATAGTAACCATATCCCTCTCTCTTAACCAGTCCTGTACCACTCCCTCTCTGCATCAAGGATGCTTCCCAACACACAAAAACTACAACACAGCAACACAAAGACTGAGATAGACTAAAAACACGAGAGCCAAGAGACTTTTTCTTTCAAACACTTTCATTATTTTCTCCACATAACTCAAAAACAAAACAGAGTAATTCTCAGGAACAGAAAGAAAGAAAGAAAGAAAGAAAGAAAGAAAGAAAGAAAGAAAGAAAGAAAGAAAGAAAGAAAGAAAGAAGAGTCAAACTATAGAGAGCTTGGCATGCTGTAGCATGCTGCGGACTAACAGGGTGACGCAGGGCATTGTCACCTGGCTGATGGCATACAGCAGAGCTTCTTGAACCTGTTTCAGTCTGGACCCAAAATGAAATGAAAATACATTGTTCTGCTTCCCGGGGTGCAGGCACATTAGACTGTACTCTTGTAATAATGTGGGGGAAAACCAGAAATTAGCCTTAAGCTGAGTTTGAGTTCCAGTTTAAGAAATGCTGTCCAACAGAAAAACAACTGCGAACCTCCCTGCTCCCTGGAAGTTGTTACCGATGGCAACGGGTTCAGCCATCCCATCACGTGTAAAGAAGAGGATGATCACACATGTTCACACAGTTCGATGAGCATTCATCTGCACACATGCAAACAAACAGGCTGGTAAGGTCTGCTAGATGGGTTTAAGACACACACATTCACACACATACACAGAAAAACCTTTACTGGCCTATAAAAAGACACAAATAGAGTGGTGAAAAAATCGTTCCGAAAAGCTGGAAATGAGTTAGCATTTTACCACTTCAGCTTCCCTCGTCTCATAGTCAACGTTTTTTTGAACATATTAGATGCCTGAAATAAGGTCTGTGGTTAAAACAAGCTTAAGAGAAATTCACCTTTTGTCCTACGACATAAAATACGTCAGTAAATACCCCACTGGTGAATGTCCCAAACTTCTGTCTCATAAATAGTGGTTGCTAACAAGGGGTTTAATAAGACTATTACACTTCATTACTCCAAACATTAGCCGCCTTTAGCTTAGTGCTTGTGATGCATGATGTAGCTAGTTCATTTATATCCTAATGTTAGCTTTTTACTTCTGTCGATTGCATTTACGTTTCAAAAATAAAATTGGTGTTAATATGTGTAGGTTCTCTTGCCATGTGTTTGACACTGAGCTTATTTTTTCAGATATTTTTAAATCCAATGGAAAGATCCCATTGCTTTCTGCGGAGGGAGCAGTTGCGATGCTAACTTCCAGGTCGTCATACAAGAATACTTCAAAACTGCACCACTCTATTGTGACTGATGTTTATGCTTGTCTATTAAGTCTTGGATCTTTGGAAGAAAGGCTGAGTAAAAGTGGCGATAAATCTCGATTTTTGATCCTGGCCACTATTTGATTCTACAAAATACCTGCTAGTTCCCTTAGGGAGCTGGCAGCATCACTTATCCCCACATATAGGTCTAATTTAACCCAGTCCATAAAGTAATTGACTGTACTTTTTAATCCTAGCTTCTTTCCAGACACTGCTCCTATCAAAACCTAACATGTTGCATGTGCTTCTGAAGCTTGTGTTGCTTTCAAATCCAACGCATTACTAGGATATTACAGTACATATGCATGCATTGTCTTACTTTAATCAAATTGCGCTACAAAAGCAAGGCAGGTGGCGACTGTTTTTTTTCAGACATCTTGCAAGTATAGTATAAAGGTGTTTTATTCAGGTTATGCTTTGAAAGAAGCAGTGGGAGACAGATATTTTCTGTCTTTGAAACTATTTTCTGGTATTACATACCAGTATTGTATTTTCTCTAAATACCCCTGCTAGCTGTGCAGGAGGTGCAGGGCTTTGCCAAGGACGCTCTGTCTTGAACTCACACCAACTCAGAGGAAGCTCCATCCTCTGACTGGTGTGTGGAGGTGGGAGAGTGTGGGAGGGAGAGACGGGGGGGGGGGGGGCACAGCTGTCAGCTGATGCTAGTAGGCTAGATGTGGACGAGCTGCTGCCGTGTCTTCATGAGATGCTCTTGTAAAGTTCATGAACAGCGTGAAAGGCCACTGAGCTACTTGGAGACCACAAACACACGACACACACATGTACATCCACACACATTGTTGGAAAAGGACATGCCTGCTTGATAGAGTTGCAAAAACACTCACTTTCACACAAAATGTGACCAAATTGAGTATAACAACAACAAACCCTAGAAAAATGCTCTTGAAAAAAGAAATAGTTGTTTAGAAAAAATATCCTGCAAAAACGTTTTTATCCTATTGTTTATCAGAACAAACCATTAAGATGACTTCCTAAAGGGATCCGCAGAATTTCATTTGTTATCATTTGCCCCTCTGGGCTTCCGTACTGTAAAAAAGGACAGAAGACGGACATTAGAACTGTTGAATAACAGGGCAACTGTAGAAGCAATGGATGTGTGTGTATGGAAATGGAAGGTCATTGACCATGTATCCAGGCAGCAAACACTCAAGAGTCTTACATACACCCACACACACCTGGATTGAACCGTCTGTAACAACTCCCAGGCAGGCAGAGGAACCAAAAGGCAGGAGTTATATAAAGAGGGGGTGGAGGGTTACAAAATAAAGAATATATCCATCAACATATTGTACATGAGAGAAACTGTTAATAAATAAAGTTACAAATCTGTTGAAAACTATGATTTGAAGATGAAAACGTCTGTCTGGTCAGTCCTGTCTGCAGATAGTGGAAGCAGACATCTCGCTGTAATGCCAGCTGCAGCTCTCATGGCCTCGGATCGGAACTCTTCAGCCCGTTTGAGTCTGAATATGAGCCATTGAAGCCCACTTAAGTCCACTTTCTGGACTACTTTTATCTCCCTGTAGTCCCGTTACCTGGCCTGGTTTACCCCTCGTTCCTTCGCTTCTTTGGGCTTTGCACTTGAGCATCTTTTTAAGACGATTGGACCAAATTAGCCAAGGTTAGCCCCTTGTTAACTAACTTAGTCCAAATATCGTTGGAGCCTTCCTCGGCCCTTGTCTTCCCTCGGCTTGCAGTCCTCTCACTGGAAACACCAAGGGGCAGCAGATTGGTCGTAATACTCATCGGAACTTATAGTTGTTCGTAGCATAGATAGGCTGACTCCGAAAGCAGTGCTGTCTTTAAATAAAAAAGTGGATAAACAAAATAGCCACTCCAATGTTGAGTAGAATCACCATGACAACCAGGATGGAGCTGTAAGCCTGCGTGGGAGGGAGAGAGAGAGAGAGAGAGAGAGAGGAGAGTGTCAATAATCAGGACACACTCAACGCTCACACAAGAGGCTGCTTTTGGGGAGTTCTTTTCTGTCCGTTGCAAGGGTCTACGAATAGGGTCTATACTAGGGAGTGTCGTATGATGTACAGTGTGTGAAGAACCCTGAGATACATTTGTCATTTCTGATATTGGGCTATATTAATCAAATTTGACTGATTTGATCGATAAATATAGTATATTTAACTTTCTTATACATACACATCTACACAGTCGTGTATTCATTTTTATCCAAGACATTTCTTACTACCACAGATGGTCCTTTACATGTCAATTGAAATGCTATACAGTAGAGCTGCAGCAGTTTTTTAAACAGAAAAATAATAATAAAATAAATAATAAACACATATTTGTTTTCAAGTAAGGGCCTTGTACTGGGGCTTGGTCTCCGTGCAGAGGACCGGGTTAGAATCTGGCCTGGGACCATTGGCCGTGAGACATCCCCTCTGTCTCCCCCTTCGAACCCAAAATATATATTTTAAAATAAATATATAATTTATTACAATCAATTAAAGGTGGGGTAGGTAAGTTTGAGAAACCAGCTCGAGATCGCTAGAATTTGAAAATACACAACCGGAGAAAATCTGCCACTTCCTTATAGAGCCCCTCCTCCAACACACACGAACGCGCACATGACCAATGAGGGCACGAGATAAGTTTGTGCACAGATGGAAGGCTGACAGGCAGGTAGGCCATCCAGTTATTTTAGCCGGGCCTAAATTGGTTGTACTTTTTACAGTACTACGGCTTCCACAGATGACATTTTTTTATGGATTTTTTGTCAAAGCACTTAAGATATTTATTGCTATCGGGATGTTAAGAGCATTCCATGGAATATAACAAAAAGTGTATCTCGAGCCGGTTTCTCAAACTTACCTACCCCACCTTTAAATGTTGACATTATTTATCATGCAGTAATGTAAAACAATGTTGATGTAAGCCTCTCAAATATAAATATTCCACTGTTCATTATTCCTGTTATTTTTATAGAACATTAAAATGAATACCTCTGGTTATTTGACTAACAGAAAACAAGTCAAACGTAACATCACCTTGGACAAAGGAAACCAGAATGGACATTTCTATGACATTTTATAGACCAAAAGATTTTAAAAAACTTTTCATTCTGCGATTAAATCGATAATGGAAATAATTGTTTATTGCAAACTAATATGCAGCTTAAAGAGATTTGTTAAAAATAAACTAAAGGGAAATACAAACTGACAAAAGTATGGACAGTAAGGTGCCTTGCGTTATAGATTTTAAAAAGGACCAAACCACAGTGTTTAGCCTAAAGGAAGAGGATTCTCCTCGGTTTTATCAATATTTGGGGATTTAATTTTCTCTTTGCTGTGTTTAAATAATGTCACACTTTTAACATCACTTTTATTGGATTTTGCACAACTGCATGCACATCATTCATCCCATGGCTGTCAGGTGAATTCTAGTTACTGTCTCTTTGTTGAAGGAGAATCTTTTACTGGTTCAGAAAATCCTACAGCCCTGGGGTTTATAGAACACAACAAAATATCCAGATGAACAAAAACACAAGGGTGGTAAATTAAATGCAATGCTCTCACATTTTGAAGATGCAAGGTTTTCACCTGACAGCAGAAATATGTTCCAGTACTGTCAAACATGTTGATACTGGCTTTAATGCTGCTGTATGCTAATCTTATAAAGTTGTACTGTTCTTGAGTTTTGAGTTTGAGAATTTGAGCTAATGTCAGCGTGTCTAATGTTCTTTTCAGATATGTGGAGGAAAGACCGAAATGTCCAGCATGTAGTTTTTGTCCACGAACAAAATATTTACATTACATGTTACTTGTTAGTCGCTTTTATCCAAAGCGACTTACATGCTCAATACTGTGGACAATCACCACAGGAGCAATTTGGGGTGACGTGTCTTGCCCAGGGACACAACGACATGCTGACTGCAGTGGGGTTTGAACCTGTGACCCCCTGACCCGAACACCAACACTCTATCCACTGCGCCACATGCCTCCAAATAATCATGGGATCATTGCGAATATACTATGAATAAACTATGTTTATTGAAATATACATGCTTTATTGTAGTACAGTGTGCACATTTCTACATCTTATGTCTTGTAAATATTTTTTATTTTATTTTATTGCATTTTTTATTGGACATTTAACTTTGACTTCTTATGTTTATATATCTATTTTAATCATATTTATTTGTAAAAAAAAAAAAATATATCCCAAACCCAAATTTCCCCCAAGATAAATAAGAATTCTGCTTCTTTCCAAATGGCGCTCACCAACATAACGTTAAGTGTCTTAGTAAGTTAAGTTATACGTTTTTTTCAAGGTTCTCTCCTCCAACTTGATTGGATGCTGCCGGACAGTTTAAAATAAAGTTGATCTGGGTAATTAAGTGTCGACTTGCTAGGAATTAATACTGTTAATGGTAGTTGATTCAAGTAGTGTGGCACTTTTTTCAAATGTATGCATTATATTCTTAGGTCTAGGAAAAGGTTTCAAGTGAAGTCACAAGTCAATCATGGTGTTCAAGTCCAGTTCAGTTCTTACTGCAACACTCTTTCTTGTGTTTGGTTTGCATTGTTTTAGTGGTTTCCGGCAACGTGACGTGATAAAAGAACAAATTGTCTGCAGTTTCTTTGCAGTGCATGTAAATAATACCAATGAAGAAGCTAGGTTCAATGTACGCAGTGCAATAATGAAGGAGCAATTTGCACTTTAAGATTAATAATACAACAACCCATGTTGATCCCACAGGGAGGCCCACCTCCTCTGACAGGGGGGTCAGAGGGTGAAGTCGGCTGCAGAACAGCGGCCAGGCGGGGAGTCCATGTCTTGCTCAATGACACTTAAGCAGATGCTGGCTGACAACCTGGGTCATGTGGGTGAAGGCCAGCCTTTCTGAACACCTGTCTACTCTTAGTAAATATGAAATTAAATCTGGTACATTCAATGACATAATCATGGAGGAGTTCTCTTTTACCCCATGCAGAACCACTCACTGAAAATATAAAAATATAAAAGTATTAACATAGAGTTTATTTTGGACTTATCCAAGGATTAACCAAAAGAAGAGGTACATAAATATGGATTTAATTTGGTCAAATAATTGTTTCAATAATTGCAGTGTGAGAGGGGAAATGGGACTGCGCACAGATATTAAAGGACACATGTCATGCTTTTCCGGTTATTACCCGTCCCCTTGTGTGTTATGAAGGTTTTTATGCATGTAAACGGTCTGCAGAGTCAAAACCCTCAAAGTACACCCTGTAGCGAGTAAAACTCTAACACAGAAAATACCTCCCCAAAACGCCTCGTTGGAGATACGTCATTGTCCATTTGATTCTTCTGGGTACGGGGTGACGTAACCCCGTACCCGGAACGAAATGGACCAATCCGTGGAGCCGTTACGTTACGTCCGCGGAGCCGTTACGTTAAGCCCCCGCTGATTGGTCCAAATTGACCAATCCACGGACTTCCTCACACACACATCTGTGTGCAGTTAGCAGGCAGCTCTGCTGATTTCTCCTCCCTGGCTGCAGGCTGATAACAGACAGTTGGGATCGCAGCGAAATTCTCTCTGCAGACCCATTCTCACAGCGTTTATCAACCTTTTTCTTACTCAATATCAAGCCACACTTATTGTTTTAACTTCGGCTGTGAGTTTGTGTGTGCTCAGGATGAGTTTGGCTGTGTTTGGCTGTGTATCCTAAACAAGGAAACAACACCTCCACGGAGCTCAGCGCGATTCACAACGTCCCGACCAATCAGAGCACACTGTGCTCACAGGGAGGGTGGGGGCTGGAGCTATTGGAGCTACAACGAGCCGTTAAAGGCAGAGAGTGAAATTCAGTGAATACACGTAGTTTACAGAGATGCTGTATGAGAAACCAATGTGAGTTTGGAAAATTGCACAATATAAATCTATTTTAGTATACCTCAACAATGGAATTATGATCAGTGGAAATGGCCATGACACCTCTCCTTTAAGCAGCATTAGTGTAACATTGTTGTAAATTAATTTATCCAGAGTGGCTAACAAGGTTTCTGTTGATCAATCCGGTGATAAGCTTATCACAGATCTGTGTCCTAGATGACTACCCGACCAGGTGAATAAATCTTCTGATCATTGGCCTTTTATACTTCTATTTACAGTAGTAAGAACATTTGTGATTTTTATGTTTCCATGCCTTCAGTACAATTCCTCACTTCCAGAGACACATGTTAGTTTCCAGTATATAAAAAAGGGGTTAGTTCAATACAAAATAATTTGATTATTTGTCAGTCTCATTATTTCATTTGAGCTGAAAGAGCATAATCAATCACAATTAGTATTTTAAATGAGTAAATCATGTTGAAACTCTCCCATCTTAGCAACAAGACCTGCCTCTCAAACTAAATATAGATTGACATGTTTTTTTTCTTGCTGAGAGTTAAAAGATTTATGCAAATGTAATATCTGTACACTAAATATAAATCCACAGAATGTCTAGATGCAACATGTGGGTGTGGTTTAATATTTGATGAAATGGGACATAACTATAATTTATTTTTTGCTAGTTCAAATCAGAGGCAAAATTATTATTTATTTTGTTACAAAAGTCTAGTTTGGTAACACAAATAAAACTGGACAAACAAATGGTCCAGAATGTACTGGAAGAAGTTTTCCTTGTTGATAAGATATGTAGCATTGGAACATATGCTTTGGTTTGCTTCCTGCGATTGGGTGGGATAATATTCTAACAAAAAATAAACCGCACCAGGGTTCAGGACCACCTCTTGCAACTGGCCTCGTACCTGCGTTAGATGGGGAAATCGCCCTAGGAGGCCTGATCTTCTTCTTTAAATAACCTCTTTTGTTGCTCTATGTCTGTTTAGTATGTGAACAGGCATCACTTTGCTAACATATAGAATTATACATTTGTTAATTTGCCACCAAGTGATCAAAGACAATTCTGTCCTGGCTTTTCGACCAGAAGAAAGACAGAAAAATATGCTTAAATGCTTTCATAAAACTGCAGAAATGTGTGAGGCTCAAATGCAATGTTGCAAAAGAATAGGACCCGTAATGGAATGGAGCCATCATTATTATGATTGCTTTCCATTCTTTGACGAGTTCAAATGTGTGCTGTGTAAACGGCCGTTTGACTAAAGTAACGTCTGTCTGGCTGAAACTTTCTAAGTGTCCAGTCTTTTAGAAATATTGACTTCTAGGATACTGGAATGCACCAGGGCTCCATTCTGGGACCACTGTTGTTCAGACATCTATTCTTATACAGACCATAAACAGATATTTAAATTCTGCAAGCCTGTTTTAGGCAGGAGAAACAGACCCACATTTCCTGTATACAATATAAAATAACACAAAACAACACTTCACCACACTCTTTTGGGTTGTAAGCTTTCCTAAAACTGATCAAATCGAGACATTTTATTACACGCTCACATACAATATAACAGAAGCACTGCCTTTTATCCTCTTAGGAAATACTGAAAAGGTAGAGCCACATGTCTCCCATGCAGATACAACAGACTTATGAATGCCTTTTTTTTGCAGACGTGATTATAAATCTCCCCCTTGTGACCCACCTAAGAAAGCTTTACAAAAAATGCAGACCAGCCCCAAGGAAGCAGCGTGTGTGCCAGAGTCAGCAGGAGAGGACATAGAATGAATAGATCCACCTCTCATTGGAGTAGAGATGGTTTACATGTCGAACATGCTTTTAAGACGTTTTCCTGCTAAATCTTCTTTTTCATCTGACAATGGCCTTTTAGTTGTTTTGTGATCTCAAGGATTCAAATGCTTCATTGTCAAATGCACAATAGTTATAGGGCCCTATTGGGCTTTTGGGGGTTTTCCTTTCCTGTAGTGTGTTCTATAGGTGTTTGTGCATGTAAATGATCTGCAAGGGCTCAAATCCCAAAATGCATGCCAGAGGGAGTTTCTCTCCCACACACTCTTTGTATGCTTCTGGAACATGCGGACAACAGTATGTAACACTTGCGTATCTATTGGCTAGCGCTCTAAAACATTGTACGTGTATACATTGTATAGGCTAAAGAGCGGGACTTATCTAAGCGGTTGACCAATCAATCAACCAATCAGAGCCCGCCAGCTAACCAATCAGAGCAGACTGGGGTCTGGTTTCAGACAGAGGGTGAAAAGAGGTGCTGCAGCACAGGCAGTATGAGAAAAATAAAGAGCTTTTTGAACATTGAAGCATGGAGACATGTCACAGTAGAGACACTAAATACAAATATGAGCCTCACAATGACTTTAATATGTCCCCTTTAAACTATTTGTTTTATTTTGAAATGAGCATAATAGGGCCCCTTTAAGTCCCAGACTCCTCCAACAAAGCAACATAAACATACCTTGGATATAAAACAATATAAATGGTGCAAAAAAATAAAAATAAAATAGTGCGAGAGATCTACCATAGAGAAGTGTGTTTCTAGTGTATCTGGAGCTGATGGCATCCAAATCAATATCATTTTCAAGCAAAATCTTGAGACATTATTTAAGCCCGTAGGTAGGCTGTATAAACTAACCCTTTTTGCGGGATCTCTTTGTCATCTTTTTAGTTTATGTTATTGAGGGCTATCAAATGCTTCATCATCAAGGGACAGTTGCTCACTGAGGTGTTGTTCCTATGAATATGAGCCTTCGGGATGCACAGAGTGGACTGGTTGATGTCTATGAGTTTGAGTGACCTATTTTGGTACATAGGTTTCACACTGGGTACAGTAAAAGACTAAATGTTTTTCCTTCACTTTTGTACTGGAATCTTGCACGAAAAGCCCCACGTCAATAAAGTTTGATTAATCGATTGGTTGTTAAAAAAAGAGCTTGCCACATGTGTGTGTCAGAGTAGCCGCAGTGTTCCCATGGTGTTTGCAGCGCACCCTGTGTTCGTTTATCAGAGTGTGATAGTATCAGTGTATGCTGTGAACCTGTCTTACAAAAATCTCACTTGCTTCTCTGCGGCTGCAAACAGACACACACAAACCACCTACACCCACCCTGTCACTGACACACACCCACCCGATTGGCCGCCGTTGAAGCAAGGCATAAGCTGTTCCCTAGCAACAGAGAGCTGGTTAACCAATAGGGGGCCTTCTGTGAGGAAGGGGCTAGCTTGCCAGTGTGCTGTTACTAAGGTGCAGAGAGGACCGCTGGGGTTCTCTCTCCGCATGTATATCTGTGTGTGTGTGTGTTTGTATGTGTGTGTTTTGTCTTCATGTCTTCATGTAGCAGGTAGCAGAAGCAGCAACTACGTACTGCTAAATAACGGGCTTTTTGCTAGAGTTCTTGCACTGATGCATGCACATTTTGATTAAAGTTAGTGAGTAACAGTATTTAACATTTTACACACAATAAGTGTGTGTGTGTGTGTGTGTGTGTGTGTGTGTGTGTGTGTGTGTGTGTGTGTGTGTGTGTGTGTGTGTGTGTGTGTGTGTGTGTGTGTGTGTGTGTGTGTGTGTGTGAGGGATGGAGAGAGAGCGAGCTCGTATGTATAATGTGCTCTGTATATCTCTGAAGCCTACGATGTGTGTTTTTCACTTGCTGCTGATTCTCCTTTTGGTTTCATTAGCTAATGCTGCGACTATATTATCATCCGGGATTAGCGTGCTTGGGTCCCTCCAACAGCCTGAGTCAAGACGTAGCCAAAAAATTATATTAAAATGGCGTAATCCCCCTGCTTGGTCATAGTACAGAAACAAATCTTTCTTTATTTCACAAGGTTAAACCTTGTGCCTCTCCCCCTGGATTATCTTAATATGTGGGATAACATTGTGTTATGTCACAGGGGATGAAGGTATCCTCCTGACAGTGGGCAACAAATCCTTTTAGTCAAATCAATGTGCGGCAGTGAAATGACAGATATGACCAATGCACTATAGAGCTGTTTGTCCAGGGTGATATTAAAGCCAAACGCAAAAGTTAAAATTACTGAAATGTAAAGCTTCTATAATTAATATTTTTAATAATAACAATGGATAGAATGACTACATGTACTGTAAAGTGAAATGAGTGCACATAGTAATAAACATACAGAGGGTTATCAACTGACTCTACTAGAGCTGTACTAACTCATTTTTACAGCCATGTATGGATTACTGAAAAAAACCACAAAGGGGTACAAAACAACAACTAAGAGACACAAAACAACTACAAAGAGACACAATGACAACTACAAAGAGACACAAAGCAACTACAAAGAGACACAAAACAACACCAAGACACAAAACAACTACAAAGAAATACAAATCGACAACAAAGAGACACAATGACAACAAAGACAACAAATAACTTCACATGACAACAAAGAGGCATGAAGCAACTACAAAGAGACACAAAACAACCATAAAGGTACACAAAACAACAGAGACACATAATGAAAACAAAGAGGCAAAAAACCAACAAAGTGTCACAAACCAACTACAGAAAACACAAAGCAATTACAAAGAGAAAGAACGCAACTAAAAAGAGGCACAAAACAAGGACAAACAGAGAACTATAAAGTATATGACTTGTAAGAGGTGGCAGGGTCTTCTGCATGTCTGTGTCCAGTGCCTAGTCTTTATGAATTATTATTATAATTTACCTTTAAGCTACATTTGTGGAGACAGGACAATGTGGAAACATTACACCTGTAATCACCAGAGATAATGTGTTTGTTCTTGGTGTCACAATAAGACCTCGCTGATAGGAAGGTTAACAATTAGATACAACAGAACTAGAGAGTAACGTGACATTTATCTGTGGTCTCTTTACTTTCTCAGACATCATACAACTGGTCATGCTATCCGATGTAAGGCATTACAACTGTTAAAATCAAACTACTACATTGACTTACTCTACACTCATAAATCTCATAGTGCCCACCAAAACAATTCACTAGGAATAAGTTTCTAATTGTTCCAGTCTAATTTCTGAAACCAGTAAATGTTCACAGGGTTGAGATTTGTGAGGTCTAGTTTTCTTTGTTAGACATAACCAAGCGGCAAAAGGCAAATCTAAACTAAAGGCATTTTAGGAAACCAAATGTAATGGATGGTTGATTAAGTTATATTTTGAAAAGAGTGCCAGTAATGGTATTTTTCTCCTAAATTTCAACTTAAACTGCCGTAAACGAGAAGGGTTTTTAAAAAGAACGATGTTTAGGACATCCTCAGTTTGGCTAAACAAAGATCTTGCAGCTGTAATCTTATCTGAGTACACTAAGTGTTGTATTTGCGTGTACCGGAGTTGTGTTAGCGTGCTCGTAAAAGTCTTACCGAGTTGCCTTTGCTCTGCATGAGGCTGAGGTCCTGCTGCTCTCGTGTGATGGGTGAGGACTTCAGAGGGGGGGAGAGGGTGAGGTCCCGACGTAGAGGCCGTGAATCCATCTTTTCCCCTGGTCTGTCCAGCTTGTGCTGTGAGTCTTTGCCCCCTTCCTTGCCCTCTTTTCCTTCCCTCCCCTCCCTCCCTTCACGGTTCTTATGCCTCTGTCTCTGCAAAGTGTGGGAGCGCCCCTCTCCGTGAGCATGCCCCTGCCTCTCCTCCCCGTGCCCATGGGGCTTGTGGGTAGTGGAGTCTCTGGGCTGTAAAGGCTTCATCTCCATCTCATAATTGCTAATTTTCTCCTCATCCTGCTCCAGCAGCCGCCCCCCCCCTACCGCGCACGCCCCTGTGCCCCGACGTCCAAGAGGCAGAGGAGGACGACTCCGTCCACTTGTCCCCCTTGGCCTGTCTGTGATTGGATGATCCATGCTCCCGGGACTTGTGATTGGAGGAGCTGTGTTTGTGTCCGTTGGTCCGGCTCGCTCCTCGCCCACTGACCCCTCCTCCTCCTTTGGACAAAATCCCTCTCCTCTTGTCCTCACCCCAGCTGTTGGCCCTTAGGTACTCCCCCTTCCCTCCCCCTCCTCCGTCTTCACCTCCCCCACTTCCACCCTCCATCAACACCTGAATCTCCGTCTGCTCTCCTCCTCCTCCACCCTTCTCAGCCCTTTCTCCTCCATCCTTCGCCTTGTCCCCATCATCCACGGCGCTCTGCCGGTGGAAACGGGCACTTTTGCTCCGATGGGATGGCCTGGCAGGGGGAGGCGGGGTGTGTGGTGGCGAAGAAGAAGGGGGGCTGAGGTCAGGGGTAGCGGCATCGTTAGAGGGGTCGTCGGAAGCTGCGCTCTTTACGTAGAGATCGGGGCTGTCGGCGGTGCCGGCGCTACTCGACAACCCCTCGCCCTCCACCTCGCTGGACACCTGACGTTTGGGACGCTGCACCTCCATGCCTGCAAAAGACAGATGACATCATGAAAATGTACATTTTGTGTGCGGATGAATCATAGATATAATGTATAAATATAACTGGCTACAGCAGGGCCGGTTCTGACCAATTTGCTGCCCTAGGCGAGATTTTAGCTGGCAGTTACAGCACCAGTTACAACTTGTAGCCTCAATGATTTAAATACGGCTTATTCAAGTGTCACACTGATTTACAGATGTCTCTTTCCCAATGTCAATTGGAAAAAGTATTTTTTTTGCGCAATTACGTGGTTAACGCTGAAGTTGTAATACCACCGTGTCGCCACTACGAAAATGTGTTTTATCGGCTCACTTCCTGGGAGATCGCTCTAAAAGGAAGCAACATTAACAAAGCAGTCCATTAGATGCATTCAAACGCGTAGTATATATATTTAATTATAAAACGGACAAGTAAAATCAAGCAATCTGATTGGTTCTTAGCCGTGGTATACTGAGCGTATACCACGGGTAGAATTGTAAGTTACTTTTCACAACAACTCAGTATCCCTCCGCGTCTGAGATAAACAGTATACAGTTGGGCTGAAAAGCAAACTGCCTGCAGTTTGCTTTTCAAACTGGAACAAGAAAGCAGCGGAGAAGTAACGGGGCAGAAACCCTCCTTTTTACGCAACGGTTCAGACATAGACATCAAACGGCAAAAACATATTCAGTGTGCAGTTCCTTTGGCATTAGGGCAGGGATATTTAGATACTTTCCAAGGTTTGACATAATGAATTGTGCTACTTTTAAAGCGAGCAACGATGTTTTCAAATCTGTAATCAAAAAGGTCCGCAAAAACATTTAAGATTAACTTCGACCTCCGGGGGGGGGGGGGGGTTTACTATGGAGGAGTGGATTGAGGAGTGCCTATCTCCAGAACAAAAGCACCTAAACGACGACATGTAGAGCTACGTGAAGGGCAGGTCGACCAACTGGAAAAGTATCACCATTCAAAAGCTTTCTGATGCGGGTGTTGAAACAAAGCAGAGAAATTATGACCGTTAGTGGCCACAGGTGCGAAAGCTCTCTCCAGAGCTACTGGAAGCCGAATCTCGGGGACCGGAGAAAGTGGAGCAATATTCTCGCCACGCCAAGCAACAGCCTAGAACAACCTCAACCTATACAAGTAACCACGTAAGCCATGCTACTGATGCTGGACAGTTTTTCAGTGGGTGCACAATAAACGGCAACATACACATTAATGTAAATAAATAGCCAAATAATGGATCAACGCTCTCTGTCTAATATGTTCGCTAGCTGTTGTTAGTGTTGTTGCATAGCAACCACCTCGCACTATGTTTTGTGCAGAAGGCAACGGACGGACTATTTTATTTTGAACATCATTATTTAATAATAACAACTATTTAAATTAGAGTGTGTATTTTTCATTCATATTGCCACACTTGGTAACCGTTTTATAAAAGCAATAGCTCACTTCAGGCCGTGATATATGCTCATTATATCACAGCTAAGGGGGTTGTCGACCCTCCGCTTCGCGTCGGGCCGAACCACGCCCCTTAGCTGTGATATAATGAGCATATACCACGGCCTGTCGTGAGCTATTGCTTAAGTATATCTCCGGCTTTATGGACTGTACCAAAATTATGAAGTTTCAGAGCGGGTCAAATCTTTTTTTTCCAAATCATGACACATGCCTGATGGCCAGGCCTGTTGGAGACGTTTACTCCAGAAAGGCAGTTGCAAAGAGTACAGCTTAAACCTTTGAAAAGCAATCGTTGTGATTTAATCTTTTAAAACATGTTTTCCAACAAATCTCCCAATGGAAGAGAGAATCTGGGATGAAAAAACCTTATATATTTTCTGCCACCCGATTCCCATTTATGTATAGTTGCCAATTTAATACCAACAAAACAGTCTGGTACGCGATGATATCAGGGTTATATGTCTCAACAGAAAGATGTTGCAAATGTCAGCACCAATATTTGTCGTCATAGATGTCCTCACAATAGAAACTGACAGCCGCTGAGAGCAGAGTAGATGGCAAAAGAACAATCACTGTCATCTCAGGTATCGGTGTGTGGGAGTGTACAGTACGTGTCATAAAGTCAGTGTGTATGTGTGTGTTATTGCGCTGTCTAGTGAATGTTCTCGTGGGTTGGCTACCTGCAGTGCTGTACAGGTGTGAGTGACAGAGGCAGAAACACCAAGCTGGAGGGTGGTTTACACTGACCTTTATCACCATCCCACACACGCATTTATGAGGTTTTGTTTGTTCATGCATGTGTGGGTAGGGGACACGTGTTGCATATGTCCGCTTGACTGGGTTTGTGAATTATGGACATGTGTGGTATATGAGTAAATATGTTTGTTGTGATTTTGTGTGCCCACCGTTTCCTGGGTGCTGGAAGGAAGGGGAGAACTGCTTGGCGGTGACCCTAGCCATGCGACTCTCCTCCTGGGCTTTCTGGGATGCTCCGACCGCTGCATCTGCTTTACCCTGCGCATGAGCCGTCCTGAGACATAGAAGACAGGAAACAGAATGTGAAGAGGACAATAAATAAAATCTAACTTAAAATAATTCCTTTGAGAGAACAAACGGGCCTTTTGTAAGGAGATAAGAACTTGAAATTCAAAAGAACATTAACGAAAATGCTCTACTAGGTACAAATCAAGCTGCAGTAACTGACCTTTGGAAGAACAAAAGTGCCAACGGTGCACCCCATTTACAGTTTTCACTGAGATAAAGTTGGGCTATTTGTGTTTAGCCCTGGGTTATTCAATACACACAAGACTCAGTTCACCTCTATAAACTTAATGTTGGATTCTGCTGTTGTTTGAGGTAAATTGGTGTTGGGATACCTTTCGATGTGGACAAAATCCTTTGATAGTTGGAAGAATATTAACAAATGTAAATGAAAGAATTGGTTTGTTCTCATATTAGTTCAAGAAGGGATCTTTATGACTTTGTTCCGACCAACAAAAAAGTTGCAATTGTTTTTTGTCCAACCCAAAAGCAACTAGTCTGACAAGGTGCAAATGATTTAGAGAACACAATGTACATTTTACCCTTTTTCAACAGTGCATTTTGAAATTACTACCACTTTGTTCTTATAGTTGTCTGACAAAACATAAGAACAGCTATTGTAAATAATGTGTTAGGCTGCATTAAAGCATAGTGTGGTTGAGCTGGAGGGGACATAACAGAGCTTTAGCTAGCTGAGAATCAGCAGAGTATCCAGAATTTGTGTACGACTCATCAACAGACGTGAGCTATGATTCAGAGTGTTGTTGTTTGCCAACTTAAACAATTATGATGAAGAAAAAAGAATGAAGCCTTTTTAATGACGTGTGCAGTTTCAGTGTGGTTGAAAAAAAAAATGGAAAACGTCCTGAAACACTTTGCGATGACACGCATCAATTTCTCATGCTAACTGAGTTTTCTAATTAGCTGGCTTGGTGTGGATGTCCATCATTTCTTATATGAAGATGAAGTAAATTATTTAGTTTTGCCCAAACAAATAATGTAGTTGTCGCCCGATATAATTTTTTGTTGACAGACGCTTCAGTAGTGGTTGCTAGCCAGCATAAATGTTTTCGCGCAGATAAGATATCTTTGCTAGCTAGGAACATGACGTGGCTAAAATCTGATTCAGTATATATCTAATATATATAATATATAATATAATATATAATATATCTAGTATATATCTAATCTAATATATATTAGATTAGTCATATGTAGCTTTGATGTGCATTTGTTAAATTAGGCTTTGTATGAATCATTTTGTAGTTTTTAATACATATGACATTCTCCTATGATTATGGAAAGCAGCAATAAAGACGTTGTGCACAATATAATGGCTCTAGATCAGGGCCGCCCCTGGCCAACTTGTGGCCCCACGCAAAGTTATATGATGAGGCCCTCTGTCTGTGTCGCGAGCGTCGACACGGGGGGGGGGGGCGGTGCTAGTGGAGCCTCGCAGCGGCGAAACTGTGGCGCGCTTACACTGTAGGTGCGCCGCATCTGCGCTTCAGCTGAGGCTCCCTCCGCAAAATGAAGCACCCTCTGCAGTCTGCGTGATCGGCCTGTAGGGAGGGGCGGCCCTGCTCTAGATTAACAAACCCGAGGAAAAAGACGTCTCAAAGAAAGTTTGTTAACCACTGCACAACCGAAACTGAAAGAGGTTAGCTCGTTTTGTCCAAAATCACAAAAAAATAATAATGTAATTTCATTGCAGTCTGGGAACTGCTGACAATAGAACAACCAAAGTGAGTGTGTTGTTAGTTGCTAGGCTCTTAAGGAAACAAAAAGCAGCCAATACTTATAAAATGCCAAGGCGGTAAAAGTTGTTGTTTTCCATTTTAAATAATACATCTACCTACAATCAAATGTTGTTCATTCTGAGGTATCCTTATGAAAAGAACATGCGGCATACACCCCTACATTAATATCTGAGGTATCTGTTCTATTGTGTGATGTTGTGACTGACAAATCTCATTATAAAAGACACCTGAGCCAGAGGGTGAGAAACACACACACACACACACACACACACACACACACACACACACACACACACACACACACACACACACACACACACACACACACACACACACACACACACCATATCACATGATACCTCACACAGTAGCAATGGGAGGACAATTATGACAGAGCGACAGTACAATGAGGTGCTATGTATTCATCTGGCTCTGTAATCATGTGCTTGAAGATGTGTTTACTATCACAAAATAATTTATCTCACTGCACCGCTTCTGCCTGTCGGGCTTTTCACATCTCCGTCATCTCTCTAACTGCTCCTTTACACCCTCCTTTTCAATATCTCCCTTTTTCTTCCCATGTTCCTTTCTGCCTCTTCCTAATTGCTCCTTCTTTCTTCATCAGAATCCCCTTTTCATCTGCCTCTTGTACCATCCCCTCTCTTTCTCTGCTTTTATCAAATGGATCTCTTTCTCTCAATTACAGCCCTATTCTCACCTTTGTCTCTTTCTTTCCATTTGCCTATCTTTCTATGCCGAGAGGCTCTCGACTTGTGTAAAATAACCTCTCCATCCCTCCCTCCCTCTGGTCTCTATGGGCAGTAACAGTCTTGATGCAGTGTTGCATGTCGATGGCTATTGATTTTTTTCCTCTCTGCTTCTCTGTTTCTCTTTGCCCCTCTCTGCACTCTGCCAGGCCCACAGTGAACCCAACACCATGAGTGTGAGCGCATGCCTGTTGGTTGTGAGAGAGAAGGGGAGTACATTTAATAATATATAACATTACCATTACCAAGTACCTCTAAAAACAATGTAAGCCATAACCTCATCTAAGTATTAGACTATAAAAGTAATTTACCTGAGCCTAACCCCAACCCTAATTTCTGTAACTTTTGGATTACCTCAATATCAAATGCATTGCAAATAAATACAAGAAAAGGGAAATATCAAGACGATTGCTTTTACTTAATTGTATTATATAAGACAACAGAACAATACAACTTTAGAAAAAAAGAAAGCAAGATATTTTGTTAAAAATATGTCTGAACCACTCAGTATTTTTTTAAGAGAGAAAATGTATTTAATTTAGCATATTAAAACAGTAGTCTATGGAAAATGAAACACATGACCATATAGTCCATTTCAAAAAAGCAAAAGTAAAATCTGAGCATACAGAAAATGTATATGTAAAATGTTTAAAGAGGACATATTTGAATCATTTTGAGGTTCATATCTGTATCTTTTGCCTCTACTGTGACATGTTTCCATGCTTTAATGTTCAAAAAGCTCTCATACTGCCTGTGCTGCAGCACCTCTTTTCACCCTCTGTCTGAAACCAGAGCCCAGTCTGCTCTGATTGGTTAGCTGGCCGGTTCTGCTGTGATTAGTCAACCGCTTAGAGATGTCCCGCCCCTTAGCAAATCACGTGAAATGTGTTGGAGCGCTACCCAATAGAAACGTGAGTGCTACATACTGATGTATTTATGTTACGGAAGTTAACAATGGAGTCGTTTCAGGCAGGGGGGGGCGGGGGGGTGTGGGAGAGAAACTCCCTCTGAAGGGAACACAGGGATTTTAGCCTATGCAGACCATTTACATGCACAAAAACCTATATAACTACAGGAAAGGGAAAACCCCAGCAGCAGTACAGGGCCCCTTTAATACATACAGTAGATGGCAAAATGTCCACCCAGTAAAAAGCATTCTCTGAACTAGAGGCCACGATGATGTACTGAAGATAACCTATGGTTTTAATCGAGACTGGTGATCTAAAAATGTATCGCTACATTGTAATCCTACTATTAATCCAAATGTGTCAAAAATGCACCAGTAATCCCATCACATCATTTTTGTGTTTTTTCTTCTCCTTTTAATCCTAGTTATGTAATCCCTATACATGTATTCCTTTACTATCCAAGCCTGGGTGTACGAAGAGAGAATAAGACTGTCTTACTGTCTCACATGACATAACCACAGTTACAAAGTCTTGTGTTCACAAGGTTTAAATGTCACAGATAAACTGCTTCCCACTTCTTGGCACAACCTGCTCTCACCTTGGAAATCACACCACAACAGTTCTTTCTCTGTCTCTCCCTGTCTCTCATCCCTTCCTCCACAGTTTCCTCTCCCACTCCCATATTCACCGGGAACAACCTGTTTTAGGATGAATCGACTGCCTGGAGAGAAAAGGGATGCCTGGGGCTTGATGATACAACACAACATCCTTTCCAAGAGAAAAAAAGAGTTGCTGATGGAAGGCAAGAAGATCGAGAGGAAAGGGAGATGAAGTGAGGTGATGAGGAGGCATGAGTGTGTGTGACAAAGGAAAAAGTAAGAAGGTTCATTGTAAAACGATGTAATTACAGCAGTGGCCAAAAGATTGACAACCTCTATATTAAAGTAGAAGGAGGGGGGGCAATGGGTTTTATGAGCTACGCTATCTTTATCACTTGGCTGTTAATGCTGTAAAATACAGTTCAAGACAACATCTCCCCTCTGAACTCTGATGTCATAGCATCTTGGCGTTCATACAATGGATTTCTCCAGAATAAGACTTTTGTAAAGGCTCCTGTAGCCCCACAAAATAATGTACAGTTAGCTAATGATAAGACCCATGACTTTTGGGGAGTTGGAAGTAACGCTAGGTTTGTACTGTAGACAACCGTCTATTAAACACAAAGAGACACAACCGTGCAAAAACAATACACCAGGATCACTGTGCCTTAGTGAGCATGTTACTGTGTCACAGCACATTTTCCTTTTTATTTCACCTCTCATGTTACCAGGTTAGAGCAGCAGCACAGTTTATAAGCATGAGCAGCGTGGCTGAACAGTGTGTCAGTTGTGTTTCTTTAAGAGATTCCAGGTCTTCCCTTTCATTTGTTAACATAAGACTTTTATTTTGGAAATATTTGCAGGATAGTGTTGACAAAGTGCAGTGACTTGTACGGCTCCATAAACTTAAAGTGAGAGAAATGGCTAAAAGTATAGAAGAGCTGGAGTAGTGCAG